TGGAATTTTTAAACACTAAATTGTAAGTAATTTTATTCTAAAATTGCATATTGTGTACAGTGTTTTTCCACTCGTAAATATAACCTTTTCTCTGAATTGCCTGAATACTCGTTATTTGAAAAACATGCGTTTCTCGGTAATCACCCTATATTATATGATTCTTAGTTTACATTTACATCGTTATTTTGTAACCATCATGGCTACCCATAAGGCCAATATTAAATTTTAAAAACTTTAAGCTAGAACTTTTAAACTATATAAGCATCGTTAAAAATTGGCATGGTTTCATCTCAAACCTTCAAAACATTCGTCTAAACAACTTTGGTAAGTTCGACTGAAACATGTTTATCCGTTATTGAGTGATAGTATTAGGTTAGTTTGTATTGAAGCTGATCCCAAAGAGCTTCGTTTCGCCCCGCTCAATTAACAATTACACTTTTGACTCCAAAGTGGTAACATTCTAGAACAAACTTTTGACTATGGGATCTAAATCTGATGTACATATTGATTGTATTTGTTTGTATGAAAGATATCATAGCTTATGGAAGCTTTCACATCCATTCATTAAGCTTGAAAATTAACTACAATTTCAATACATTATAAAATCGGTGAGGATGGACAAAAGATTGACTATCATAAATATGATAAAAATATGATATCTGATAGAACATTGTAATTTAAGTAACAATATTTATTTACTATGTGTAACATGATTAATGAAACATTTTCTACAATAGAATACAATAAGGAATACCAATGTTGTCCAATGTATTGCAAGTCCTCCGAAAGAAGAAATCCTTACCATTGTTACTGGACCAATATCTCACAGTAGCAGATGGTCTTTTGTATTGGCGATTTAAGAACTCAATAAATGGAATCCCACTCAGTTCTAGCTTACATGTTCTAAATCGTTCTGAGATGTGCATCCAGGAATATAGCAAATGTTATTTAATTTTTGTATAGTAACGATAATTATCAACACTTGGCGTCTTACAAAATACTCATAGATAGTTGACATAGAGGAGTGACAATGCTAGGAAGGAAGATTCGGTTTTATTGGTTAGTTATGTAGTTAAACCGTCCCGTTTTAAGTCGAGCACAAACACATAATTCGATGTAATTTAACATTATTAACGTTAAAAACTTCATTTAAACAATCTTCACAAATGTTTAACTCTTAACTATTGTTTAGTGTCAATCACCTAGCAAAATTATTTTAAAACTACTTTAGCTTACCTTTATTGTAGGAACTACAACTACTGTACCACACTGGTATTATAATCACAGATGTAAGTAGTGTTTGATAAAGCATTATCTGATTGCAAGTTGTTGCATTTCAAGTTGAGGCACTTAATGTAATACCTCAAGGTTTCTTTTGTCTACTACTTTAATCCATGCTTTTACCAACCAGAGCTGTTCAAGTTATTGAAACTATTAATCATGTTTATAAATCTGTAGTGTGTAATAAGTCAAGTTACACGTGTCGTAAAATGGAGATTCTCGTTTACTTATCAATAAAAAACTATAAAAATACATAAACATAATTAATTATGATCTACTAGCAGAGTACCTGTTATTCGGACGGAGTTGGCGTATAAGTATAAAATGGTTATTGCAGTTATAATCTAGCTTTACGTTTGCAATGGGGGAGGATAACGCTTGAGAGCATTTGGTTCTTTATATTTACGGTATGCTATAGTATTACAGATATAGTATAGTATATACAGTATAGTATTACACATCTACCATAGCCAGTCTGTTATAGCACTGCACCTAAACAATATAAAAAGTAAATTTATCAAATATTCACACAATATCACAAATTACTGTACTTTAAACAATCCTACTTTGACAGTTCTCATTGTGTATCACAGCTTTTTGATGCTGCTTACTTCTAATTAGCTGTTATCATAATTGCAAAAAACATAGTAGTGCTGCACCCAGTTGGTAAACCTTATAACTTATATATATCCGAGATTTCCACCTAATTCACATCTAGGCATTTCTTATAATAACCTAAGAACAATCTATTTTCCTAAATATATTTATTTTTAGGTATGAAACAGTATTAAAAAGAGTTTTGTCAAAGTTAACATAGTACAAAAGTCCGGTTAAGTATAGTAAATACAATTGATACCCAGGACCTAGTTTGTTTGTATGTCACAATGAGTTGTCGATGGACCTCTGTTTACAGCGACAACAAGTTGACATTCACATTTTGCTGGTGAAACACAAACTTGATTAGGTTTGGTAATCATTACACTGGTGTGTAATTATTGTTGACAGGAAGTATGTTTAAAACCCCAGAATCAATGATTGTTTCATTGTATCAACATTTCTTGTAACATACTTGCCGTACTTCCTGGAATGGAGTAAAATCTATGAAAATGTTAAGTAAATAAACTATAAACTATTTAATATGTTCATTTTTCAAAAAGCGTTTCTTAACAATACATTTTAAGCAATCCAATAAATTTATTCTCTGGGTCTTACCATCAACAGATAATAATCTATGTTTGTATACAACATTAAATATGACTTTTTTCTATGAGATATTATTGGTCATTACACGAAAAAGTATTTGAAAAGATTGCCACGTTAGTTTACCCTTGACATAGAATACTTCAACAATCCTCTTTATAAATAACCATAATAACACACGTTTGTTTTTATGATAGCATATTACTTACAAGAATCTTAACTTGCGGAAAAGCTTTAACAAATAATAAGATATTGCACAAATTGAATCGACTAGTGGCTTGTAGGGGCAATAGCCCATATTCTAGTAATTATTTTGTACAAGCTAATTAGCCTCATGGGTTTCCCTACCTTGAATTATCGTTTAAAATTTTTGTATATTATAATATACTCCTTAGATTAACAACATAAGATGTCATGGCAGTAAGTAGTTGATAATAAAATACAAGTTACACATACACTGCAAATGTGAACAGTTAAGTAATTAGTCTAACTCTGTGTATGATATAAATATAATAAGCCTCTAAACAAATTTCAAGATCTTAGGTTGTTTAAATCAATTATTTATAGGCTCAGCGTTAAAAACCAACCAGGTTGAACTTAGTGCTTGTCTAACTATACCAACTTGTCGAGAGGTGTAACAGTTTTTGAATGATCCTCTGCCTCTGGAAACATCACAGAATCAGTCAGACAGAACATACACTTCATGAACATATGTACCACTGAATAATGTGTTTACATAACACAATTTCCAACCAAATCAGTTAATTTGTAAACATTATCTGTCGTTTATTTGTCACCACCAATGACATTAAATGTATCGCAGATAGGCTAGAATACAGTTTCTAAAGATTTACTTTAATTAATGACATTCACTGTAACTTGATACATCGATTACCTTTTATGCGAATGTGTTGTTTTTAAGAATACAAAAACTTCGCAGAACGATCGATTATGTAATATGACTTCAAATAAAAAAAACTCACAATCAATGAAATTTATAATCAAATCATACAGATCTTACGAGGGGAATCCAAAATATAAATTAGAAGCCAAACATAACTTATCATTGGGATTTATTAGTGGTTTTTACTTCAGTTCTACAGTTAATTATTTCTGGAGTGTTGGTCATCATACTAAAGCTGAACAACACAGTTACAATCAACGGAATCAGCGAAGAACGTAAATACGTTAAGCGTTGATACAGAAATACTACATACGAGACTTGCATAAATTGTACCATTCTGAACCAGATTAAACCAGTGATTAGTTTGCATGAATTGATATTAAATACTGGACGTGGCTGGATTACTGTTACTGTGACCTTTAGAATTAGGTACAAATTAATCACCATATTAAAGATCATAGTGTGAGTTACTATACTTGAATTTGTACTTTGTAAGGCTTCTTATACTAAGGCAATACATTTTCTAAAACTTTCTTTAGGTGCTTAAACGAAAATGTTAGAATAACAATAAAAGTCAAGATAGAGTCGGAAACAAATTAAAAACCGTTTAAAGTAACAAGCTAAATGGTTTTTGGGAGTTTGACTACTACAAAGAATACAATCCTTCTTCATATCTTACCATATTTTCGGCAACATGTTTGTATAAGTGCCCCAATCAATTTAAACATGAATGGAAAAGTCTATTGGCACTAATATCGAAATATACTACCAACAAAAGCAATTCAAACCGTAAACTAATATTTTGAAATCTTTTAAACATAATAATTTAAGCATAAATAAACGAAAATAAAGTTGTAGACTTAACCACAATTTTCACATCTAATTAAAGAATTAATTGGCTGAGGATACTGTATTTGATTCTAATTACCTCTGGAGTTATCGCTTGAAAGGTCTTATAAAAGCTCTCTCAAAGGAGAGTTTTGGATTTTGGTTAGTGAACGAGAAAACTAAAAAAAGACTTATCACGCTGAAGGTGCAAATCTGGGTTTGAATATTTATGACTGCCTAGAGCTAATTAGTGCAATTTTACGTAAAGGTTTTTGTCACTTTTTAAGATCTGATTGGTTAGAAACGTAATTGCCCCAGATCATTATAATGTATCGTGACTAGATGTGAAAATATTATTTAGATACTAAAAAAGCCAAGTGATGTACGCTTTGTTTACTGTTCATAACCCTTTCTATGACTTTATTATCTGGACTAAAAAAAATGGATCAATTGCTGATTTAATCCCACCTTACACCTTCATCGTGTTCATGGACATATACATATATATATATCATATACATACACATATATATACCGTTATATATATAAATATATTTGAAGGAATGGTGTTTTTGGCCTCTGGAGACATCAAAATGGAAAAGTAAATCGGTTCCGGGGCTTAGGTATTACCATCCAACCTACGGTAATAGCTACTTCACTATAGAGCAATTCGCTACAAAATACTCGTATTACGATTATTGATTCGCGCCATAATTTTGATAGATAGACGATGCCTGTGGTAATTTGTCACTGCTGTATTTAATTTGACAACTAAACTACGTACTGTACATCCAGAGCTCCAAATGTTTGTGCGCGTCTAGTTCGACCCGTATACCTGTAAAATGAAACTACTCGTAATATTGACTGTGGTTTTTGGATCATTACTGGTAAGATTTCATATGTATTAACTCTTTTGCCCTAATTCCCATTTTCACAATTTCTGACATTAGATGTGTAACAAATTGATTAAAACATTGATAAAATATAAATTAGGTTTTTCATGTGTTGTTTTTATTGTTTATTATTGTTTATCGAGTTGCATAATATAATTTCATGAGTTAAGGTCTAAATCTTTAACCGATATACACTTTCCTACTTTATTCAAAAAAACATAAGAAACACGTCACCAGTCACTTTGCCAGCCACGTCACAACCACGTCACCAACCACATCACCAGTCACTTCACCATCCACGTCTCCAGCCACGTCGCCAACCACGTCACCAGCCACATCACCAGTCACTTCACCATCCGCGTCGCCAGCCACATTACCTGCCACGTCACCAGTCAAATCACTAGGCACGTCACCACGAAAAGCTTACGTTTACTCCCTAGCGACTAAAAAGATAAATGTTTTTTACTAGAAAGGGAGTAAAAGAACTGCTTTAGACCCATACCGCATGTATTTGCTGCTTGAAGAAGAAAAACAGTTGCTTAGCATCGCTGGACATTTGGAAGTGAAATCTAGAAAATAGTCAAACCGTAGTGCGAAGCCCTAAAGGACTCTCCGGTACAGTACTTATGTATTACACCAGCCGATAAATCAACTTCCATTTTGTTTACAATTATTTAAACTAGAGGTCGTCCAGTGGTCGAAAACTCGACCAAATTTATGTAATGTACAGGCTTCTCTATTTTCACCCCAAGCTGTAAAAAAACATGTGATTAGAATTTATTCCATTTGTTTTGATTTTCTGATTTCGTTGTTATTTCTTCACCAGCATGGCAACATATAAGGTCCATGTTAATTTTTTTAAACTTTCAATTCAATTTTTGGGCTTATTTTTGAGCCTATTATAATTTATAAAAGGATTCTGCACACCTAGAGAAAAATATCTTTCTAAGAGTGTGCGTAGATTTTTTATGCGATGCACGCGATCTGAGAAAAAAGGTTTTAAAGAAACACGCTTGCCTATTAATATATAGATATTTATAACACCCATCTTATTACATTTCAATTTAAATGTACAGTGATATCCTCAAATGCTAGTCAAAAATCAAAAACATTAAAAAGTCATCTGTTCAATAATGTTAACACAGCTTTTTGCATAAGAGATTCCATACAATCTTGTATGTGATTTATGATAAGTAGAACAGAAAGATATTTTATTTTGAGTTAAACACTGACGCTGCACCATTTAACAAACAGTCCTGCCACAGCAAACCTGCAGACTAAGCGAATTCCAATTTGTCTGGTTGGATTATTTTCCTTCACCTGGTCAGATTTATTCTCCTTTCAAACAACATTAGATCCAAAGGTTACATAGGGTTGCTTCTAAATAGCAGGTGAAAAGAGTGTTTTCAGTGAAATGTAGCTTGGTATTGAATAAATAAATTTACCAAATTGAATAAAAATATGACCATAACAAGTAAACTATTACTCATTCTTTTCATTTGTTTTTCATTTTACTTTTGCTCTATGAAAATAGCATGGCAATTTAGAATGTACATTTTTATTTTCTCCATTATATTTATTTCTCCAACATCGGATCCTTGTACACTTTGTTTGAGACCCACTGGTTTCAAAGAAAATTTGGCATAGTTATGTTTTAAAAGAATAAGAAAACGCTAATTTTGAAATAATTTTTCAAAATATTGGCTGTATACTTTTTCATATGTAATGTGATCTACAACTTTAAACAGCCAAGTACACTACAACTTTACACAGTCAGTTAATTTAAAGCCCCATAACACGAAATTTCCATGACCCCATCTTGCTGGTTGAAATTTTTTATCAATATGTTAATGTTTATCATTTGCATAATTAATCAGGATAAAAAAGATTTTGTTCAATCTGAAATGGGATTATTCTGTTGCAGTTTGGTCAAAGCTTATCTGATATGGGATCCTTTTCGAAGGGGATGGAAATCAAAGGCCATGGTAAATCCGATATTCATTTAATCAATATTCTGTAATTTAGGCAGTTATTTCAAAACTTATTTAACAACATGTGTGCGTGTGTTTTTTTGTTTGGGTGTAAGTCTGCTCCAACTTAAAACCACATACAGCCACCAAATCAATCTTAGAAGGGACATTTCCACTGTCCAGCCATTTTTTATGTGTATCCGTCACTTCTAAGTCTCTTACTGGTTATATAACAGGGAAAAAGATTTATTTTAATTTATGCACCAGTCAAGGGAGTTTTTTGATGATGAGGAATGTGGTACTGTGACTTATTAAAAAATACAGTATAAATAGTATGTACCTCTAGCGTGTGTGTCTGTATTTGTATCTTAATGGTCTTTATTTTACTTATGTTTAGTCTGAGTGAATCTCATCCTCTATGTATCGTTTTTTTAATAATCCTGATTCTGATTTTACTTTGATTTCAGTTTCCAGGTTAGGTGTTCAAAAATAACCTTAAGCTTTTTAGCTATCGTTCCAATTTAGCTTAAATCACCAAAAATGATGTTGCTGGGAACAGTCCTTGTTAATTCATTTGTAAATACATCAACACGCTGTAAAAACAAATCTCGAACTGTCATTTCATAAATAAGTTTTTTTTAAATTAAAACTACATGAATTGTTATTTTTAGTTATCTAGTAGATTAATATAACTCTTATAATTCTTGTCTTTTATAAAAATATTTTTTTTACTAACAGTTAATTAGGATATTTTAAACCTTTTTTGAGTTTAAACAAACGCTATTATAATTTAATATAAATTCTAACTATAAAGCAACACTTATCGGTTTATAATTTGAACAATTTAGAATTCTGGTTAATTGAAACTCATTGACATTGGTAATTTCTTCTTATTTTGTCAGTACTTGTTGATTTAATTACAAAACCCACATAAAATCTAGTTTTGTACGGATTTACATTACGTGATCACGACTTTTAAAACATCCATTCAAAGTATTACGATGTAAATTCAATCTTTCCTTTTTAAAGGTCATCCAAAAGTGGAAACAACTAACAAACTTTAAAATCTTCCACCAAATTTAATAAGGTAAAACCCGGCTTAAGGTAAAAACCCCTAAGAACAAGTCTATTTAACTGGATGAGAAAGGGGTTTCCAGGTTTGCTGTATCAAGATTAAAACCAGCACAGTTAGATAATGCTATTTATTTTTAATAAAGCTGTATAATGTATCTTGTGTGTTGTGGATCTTTCAGTTCTGGACTTTCCTATACAACGAGGTGTGGCCCAGTTTTTTGAATTTTGGCAACTCTTGCCGAAGCGCATCGACCCAGAAAATAAACTACAAGGTGGTGAAATAACTGAAAAAAGCTTGAAACTCGTACCAGGCAAAAGTTTGCTTGTTAAATGCGTAGAAGGTGACAATGAAGTTAATGCGTTTGTATTCGGCTCAGAAGGTTACTTCATAGATAGATTGAAGCTAGAAAAAAGTAATATGGTTTGCGCTCAATTGTTTGATAACATTTCTGTAAGGAAATATTCGACTTTTAGAGCTGAAGATTACTTCAGCTATACTGAGTTTACGTTCAGCATAATCTACAAGTTTAACGTGAAGATTGCAAAATTCAAGATCTGGAAACTTCTGTCTGTGAGGACTTCTGTTCGTTATCTCAGCAGATTTTACAAGATTACCTCCACTCTTCACTATCACACATTGGAAAGATTGCCCGCAAAATATACGAATAGCCAGGGAATAAAGATTGTAAGTTTAAACTGATACGTTATGTGACAAAATATATCTTAGGTTTAATCAAAATCAGGAATGTCTTGAATATGGTTGTAGTTTTATAGTTAAAATAATTAAAATACATCCACGAGGCTTCAACGGTAATTTATAGTATAGAATTTCAGCTTTGTATATATATACAGGCTGTTTCACGGGAACTGTGACAAACTTCAGGAAATGGTTCCTGTGGTCAAAACTGAAAAAAATGTCCAAAAAGCATAAGTCCTATACTCACTGGTTGTCTAGTTATACGTAAAATTATTTTTATTTCGGGTTTTAGTATATATGTTGAACTTTTTGACCTCCATATTGACAAGATATGTTTATAAAACTTGCATTGATAGATAGAATATTAAATTATAAAGAGATATCATTACTGTTTTGGGCAAACATGTTGGTTATGACTGATAACGAATAAGTTTAAAAATTAAATATTTTCACAAAAATCTATATTAAAAATTATATTTTGTTTTTGACAGCTCTTCATGTAGTAACCATTCAAGATTTTAGCTTGCAACTTTACCAAAAAATGTAAAGTTTAATGGAGAACAAGGAAATGTAAATTTATGTATACCTTTTATCGGGGTTATTTTTGTCAAAATCTAAAATATTGTAAAAAATCAAAAATTAATTAAATTGAGCGAATTGAACAAAATTGTATATTTGGCTTATTCTAAACACATCCTAATAAAAGTTGGTATATGGGCTATCCTAGTTGAGAAGTATTGCATACTGGCCTAAAATGTCCTTCTTTTTCATTTTTAATGATAAGAAAACAAGAATACCCGCTTTCCTGTGTCAACCTTATGGGGAAAAAATAAAATACGATAACTTGCATATTTCTGAACACATCTTATTAAAACTAGGTATATCCTTTCTTTTAGTTGAGTACTACATGATTATGGCCTAAAATCTCTATTTTTACATTTCTGTTGCAAGAAGCCTGCTTACTCCCATCTTTTAGGAAAAGAAAATTCGTTTTTCCAACTTTTTTTGACGTTTTGACCTAAAATTGATATAATATTTCGAAAAAGTGTTTGTGATTAAATAGAATATTCAATTTTTAAGAGATACCATTACTACTTTGTGCAGAAATATTGACTGTGGTAAAAAAAATCTTTTGAAAACCAATACTTGATCCGAAAAAAAATAGATAAAAAATATGATTTTATTTTAGTAGCCATTCATGCTGTAACCTTTCTAGCGTTGATCTAGTGGATATTTTAGGCCATAATCATGTAGTACTCAACGAAAAGAAGAGATATACCAAGTTTTAATAAGATCTGTTCAGAAATGTGCGAGCTATCGTATTTTATTTTTCCCATAAGGTTAACATAGGAAAGTGGATATGCTTGGTTTCTATAATAAAAAATAAAAAAAGATGCAAATTTTAGGCCATTATGCAATACTTCTCAACTAGGAGAAACGCACTGATTAAAACTTCACAACTGAGTGTTTTTACATAAAATACTATATCTTAAGATATCACCTATAATCTCAATTAATAGTTTACAGCTAACAAGTTAAACTTTACAATTAAATTGGAATATACTACGATTTTACCGTTTGGTGTACATTTTAATACGTTGTAAGAAAGGGGATTAACCCCGTACCCACGGTGCTCATCTAAGCAGAAATCAGATATATCATAAGTTATATGATATATGATACATCATATAAAATTCCGGGGGTAAAAATCCGGGCCGTACATTTTGAGCTGACCTCTTCATATATCTGGCCAGGGGGTAAAAATCCGGGGGGTAAAATTCCGTGGGTAGAAGTCCGTGGGTAAAATTCTGGCCCGTAAACTCTAGGTTTTTTATAATTTGACGTGTTCTGATTAAATTCACAACCGTAAAAATATACCTTTATTCCGCGTTTAATCCATCGAACTGATGTCGCGAAACTCAAAAGTTCGCGGTCGGAATTTTACCCCCTGGTTTGTGACGTCACGTTCGCCCAGGGAGTAAAATTCCAGGGGGATAAAGACCCGCTACCCCCGTCAAAGAGGATGGGTCTAATAATCTACGTTTACAATACTTATCTTTGGGTAACTTCCTATAATTTATCATGCTTAGACATGTTTTGTTAATCATAAAACAAATTACAGCAGCCTAATTCTTACAAAAAATTGTTATTTCCTTTTTTTATTTTCAGGAAGATGCAGATTATGAAAGCGGTAAGTATTAACGATTGAAACACGATTTTAGCCAACAAGTCAAATATAATATTTACAGTTTACTTGTTTATTTATGTATTGTCACCCTGTATTTCGTAAGTTAGAATGATATGAGTAGTAAGAAATCCAGCTACTCCCTCCCCCAATCATGAAAATAAACACACACTACTAAACCCAACCACAACATCCCGACTGACGAACCTCGAACCACAACCACAACATGGTTGTCTCTCTCAAAAACAACACCCAACGTATCTTGCCCTAATCAGCGGCTGCGGCAGAATAGTTATTAAACTTTTTCGTTATTTACACGTATCTGCCGTGGCCACAATCTTTTCCCTGGCTGAAGAGGACGTAGTCCTGAAAAAGCCTCAGTCCATTAGGGTTTCAGAGCCCTGGACTGGAACTTCACACAAAAAATATAACAACCTTTAGTCAAACTAGATTTATTATCTACAATTGTTAGGATATATTTGAGAAATTGTGCTGTTTATTTGTGTGATTTATTATATTTTTAGTAAACCTCTGGGTTATATAGATATTATATTATAATTGGGAACGTTTAAAATAATGGTAAAAAGATATATTGATTAAATTTATTAAAATAATTTTACTATGTTTTATATTAGAGCTATTACCAACGGACGTCTACGAAATCATCGAATTTCACCTTCATGGTGATCCTGTTGGAAACCCTGTCTCAACCGATTTTAAAACTGATCAAAACCTCAAGCTCAAGTGCCAACAATACAACAAGATCCCGACCGACGGTTCTACAATAGCAGTTGGATTTATAATGTATGAAGATATAATCTTGGAAAAGTTACCCCTAGACACTTGTACGACCGGAGTTGAAGGAATATACATCAACACAAAGAAAAGAAAGACTTACAGAGATGCAGACAAAGAATTTACACTCGTGTTTAAAAAGAAAGATGGGAACTGCTTTGAAATGGACATTGGGTTTTGTTACAATTTGATTCTCAAAGATCAAGCTACTATTCGTCGTTATGCTCCTAGTGGAGTCAATTGTCCAAATGAATGGACTAGTGAAGCTGAATTGGAAGCGCCTTAGTAGTCTACACAAGATTTACTGGGTTTCTCGGATTGGCTCTTCTGATGAAAAAGATGAATCAACTAAATAAAACCTTGTTGACATATTATTACCTTATTTACAACCCTAGCATAATTGGTTCTAGATTCCAAAGAGAACCTATTATCGGATGAAATATTAGTTCGATATTATATCGACTCAGATATACTTTTCGCGTGCCATAAATATCGATTGTATGATTTCCATGACACTTCGCTGCGGTGGTTAGGTTAGGTTAGGTTACGTTCTACTTAGTTTAAGTTATGGTAATAACAAACAAGATAACATAAAACACATTTAGAAAATTTTTAAAGGGATAAATTTACAAAAATGTCAATAAATTTTTTTTGTCATAAGTTCTTGAACTAAACAGAACTTCTAACTGTTTCTAAACAACGCAGCTCACTGCACTGTAAAAGAGAAGTTTACGGTTCTCTATTTTAACCATAGAACGGTATGCCCTCATAAATATTACGACGGCAAATAGTTCTTTGGTAACAAAATGTACATTTCGGCTCTGACTCTACTGTCCGCCCTAGTAAACTTCCCCCACCCGCCAAGGAGTTCAGTGTCGCTTGTGAGGAATTTGTTGATCAGACAAGCATTGAACAAGTTTGCAATACGTTTAACGAATATTATGTAAATGTAGGTACCAACCTAGCCCGCGTTGTCCCACCGGTACTTGAGCCAGTGATCAATGATGATGACTATACGACTGACACTGTCTTCCAGCTGTTGCCTGTCACGGAGGCGGAACTTGGTAGTGTTGTTATGAGCATAAGGGGTGGGTCTGCTCCTGGTGCTGACAAAATTCCAACAAAAATGATCCAAGATAACTTTATTGAACTGAAACAAACTCTTTTGCACATAATCAACAACAGCTTACTTTAAGGTAAATTAAAACCCAGTTTTGATTAAAATTAGTATGTATGACCCTTTGAATTCCGAAAAAATGGTACATATACGAGCGGTAAATTGTATTCGACGGTGTTTGGGCGATTCATGGGTTGGCCAGCCTATTTGGCGGGTGAATGAATGAGTGAATTGAGTGAATGAACTGATACTCCATTTTTGTACAAGTTTAATAGCGTTAGTCTTGTCAATTATATTTATTTTTAATTATATTGCATACAAATTGAGATGGTATTAGAATTGCAAAAAGATTAACCTACTATTAAAACATGTCTGGATATGGATAAGAAAAGAAATCAGGTATTTTTAGATTGTAAAAAGTGTTACCTGGTACCTACCTACTAAAATATGTAATGCACTTTAAAAACAATGTATTCTTTAGTAAGAAGCTTATCCAAGAGCTGAAAGTAAAATATCAAGGAACTTCAGAATTTAATGAATATTCACCGATTGACATGCCAATTTGGTGGAAGGAATCTCCAAGGGGGTAACATAAATGGAATGTCTACTTGCAGTATCCAAAGTCAATTGTATATTTGGTTTACATAAATTAAATGCTTATTCGTAGTATCTAAAGTTTATGGTGCATTATAGTGTATTTATAATGTGATAATTCAAGTATAATTTACCTTTTCTGCAGAACTCAACTGTTGACACCTTAACACACAACATGCTTCGCAGAGTTAAAATAATTATCATATCCGAAAAATAATCACATTTATGATTTTTGATTGATTTTAACAGTATCTTGAGCTTAACTTATTCAAACGACCAATATCTCAAATTAAAGCCTATAACTTACTGATTATTTTGAGTAAAAACAGAAAAACAACATAAACAACTAGTAAGTTTTCAGGAAAATGTTTTTATTTCTTGTACTTAATATAATTTATGCATTTGTATTTGCCGGTGACAGAGAGAGAGTAGGGGGTTTCAATTGAACCTAGTGGGGTTAGCACAATGCCCATTGGTGAACTTGGCGGAAGGATATTTTTGCGAAGTTTTAGCGTCGCATCGGGACGCTTGCCCAAGCTGTCGGTTGCCGGGTTTACCTAACACATGTCACTTTGACATAATTCATTTTTTCTGCCATTGCGGCTTTCCCTCTTATAGTTTTCATTCTCTATTTGTAATGGTTGGCTCTACTGACTATTGTCATTTTAGTTTATTATCATGTGTTAATTGTTTTTGTTTACTTGGAGTTGATTGATACTAATAAAATACTTTTACCTAGATTATTCTATCATGATCAATTCTGATTTAATGGGTTTAATACATGGCGCAGTCGGTATTTGCATAGTTTGGGAATTAATATACTGACACTGAAATTTAACTTTTTTACCTATACAAACATATCAACAACTTTTGTGGTATCTACCATTATCAAAAAAGTTTATCATGGCTCATACACAAGTAAGGATGCCTGAACCTTTTTCCTTCCAACCAGCGGAATGGTCACCATGGAAAAAACGTTTCGAAAGATTTAGAACAATTAGTGATTTGGATCAATCATCTGAAGAAAAACAAGTGAGTACACTCATATATGCAATGGGCCCAAAATCAGAAGAAATATTCTCATCCTTCAAAATGACCAACGAAGAAACAAAGTATAAAACAGTCATGGACAAATTTGATGGGCACTTCAATCCAAAGAAGAATATTATTTATGAAAGAGCCAAATTTCTACGTAGAAAACAAGGACTAACAGAAACTGCAGAAGATTTTGTGACAGATTTATATTCTCTTGCTCGTACCTGTGAATGGGGAACGCTTGAAGATGAAATGTTATTAATGGTCATTATTATTGGTATGCGTGATCAAGATTTGAGTGATAAACTACAATTAGAAAATAAAGTTACATTGGAATCTGCAATAACTTCACTTCGCAAATCAGAAGAATTGAAACGACAAAAAGAAGAATTGACCCTCCCATCAATCGAAGCTGTAAATAAAAATCAACGTGCTAGATATGATAATGCAATACATTCATCCAAAAGAGAAAATAGGGATCAAGGGAGATTAACGTATTCAAGCTCAAATGTCAAGAGCTATCCCAACTCTTGTATTTGGTGTGGTTCAACCCCTTCTCATCGAAGAGGTCTGTGTCCAGCAAAAGATCGCAAATGTTCTAGGTGCAAGCGAAATGGCCACTTTTCACACTGTTGTCTTCAAAACAATGTTCGAGAAATAGACTTGGATCGTTCAGATGACTTTACCCAAATCGCTAATGAACCAGACCCATCGAAAAAATTCATTGGGTGTGTGTATTATAGTAAAACAAAAAATGATCCCTGGACAATAAATGTAAGACTTAATGAAGACACTGTCAAGTTCAAAATCGACACAGGAGCTGACGTGACAGTAATACCATCCAACATAAAGCTAAGCAAAAAAATTGCAGTCCAGCCTACCCAGAGAACTTTAAGTGCGGCTGGAGGATCGCCTCTTTCTGTTCTTGGCACAATCACTGCAAAACTCTCTTACAAAGGACAATCGTGTATGGAAAAAATGTATGTGGCTGACAAATGCACAACACCACTACTTGGCAAACCAGCAATAGAAAAACTAAAAATAATACCGGTTATTCGTGAGGTATCGAAAACTAATTTCAACAAATCTGCTAATGATTGGATCAAAAACTTTCCTGACCTTTTCAGTGGTCTAGGAAAAATGAAGGGGAGCTACAAAATTGAACTTAAAAATGATGCAAAACCTTATGCGATATCAGTTCCTCGACGGATTCCAGTACCTCTTTGGGAAAAAACAAAGAAGGAGATTGAAAATATGGTGAATATGGACGTTATAACACCCGTTGATCACGCTACTTCTTGGTGCGCACCTATGGTCGTGGTGCCTAAGAAAGATAGAACTCAGGTTCGAATATGTGTGGACCTTACTATGCTTAATAAGAATGTGTTTCGACAAACTCATTCTATTTGGGGCATTGATTATACGATGGCTCGAATAAAAGATGCCAAAGTCTTTTCCAAACTGGATGCCAACCATGGGTTTTGGCAAATAGCTCTTGCAGAAGAATCTCAAGATCTCACCACGTTTTTAACTCCTTGGGGCCGATACAAATTCAAAGTTCTTCCATTTGGTATCACAAGTGCTCCCGAGTATTTCCAGAAACGAATTCAAAAAACCTTAGGATCTCAACGAAACTGTTTAGCTCACATCGATGACATACTTGTATGGGGTTCCAGTCAAGAGGAACATGACTTGATCTTAAATGAAGTTTTAAAGAAACTCAGAAATGCTGGAATTACATTGAATAAAGACAAATGTGTATTTTCTCAGCCAGAAGTACAATTCTTAGGACATCACCTTTCATCCCGAGGGGTTCAAATCAGCCATGAAAGAGTCAAAGCCATTCTTGAGATGAAACCTCCATCTGATATAAAAGAAGTACAACGCTTCTTAGGAATGATTAATTTTTGTGGTAAATACATACCAAATCGATCAGAAATACTAAAACCAATCCATGATCTACTTAAAGAGAAAAATGAATGGTTTTGGGGAGAACAACAACAGCATGCGTTTGAAAGTATAAAAAAACTTCTGACCTCAGCACCCCAACTAGCATTTTACGACCCTCGCTTACCAACTCTTGTGTCAGCAGACGCTTCTTCTTATGGTCTCGGCGGATTGCTTCTTCAGAAACATCATGATGGTAAATTCAGACCTGTTTCTTACATTTCAAGGTCACTTACAGAAGCTGAAAAATCATATTCAAATATTGAACGTGAAGCCCTGGCAATCACATGGGCTTGTGACAAGCTCAGAGACTATATAATTGGTCGAGAGATTGTAATTGAAACGGATCACAAGCCACTTGTAAAAATCTTATCATCTAAGAATTTGGATGACATTACACCTCGCTTACAGCGAATGAGGCTTCGCATGATGAGATACTCATATTCAGTGACATATACGCCTGGAAAACACCTTGCACCAGCAGACTGTCTTTCAAGATGCCCCATTCCAAGCAAGGAAACATATGACATGGAAGAAGAAATTGAAGCTTTTGTTCAAAATGTGGTTGAAAACATACCTACGACTGATGAAAACATAAACAGGTTACGGGAAGCTCAGCAAGCAGATCCCATCTTCAGAAAGATTGCAGTATACTGTCAT